TAGGTAGGTAGATAGGTAGGTAGGTAGCTGGCTGGCTCCTCTCCTATCTTTGGCACATGAGGAGGATTCTGGGAGTATTGATTCTGGAAGGACCATGAGTGTGTTCCCCCTCCTGGGGGAGAACTGTTTTTCACGTCCTCTGATTTGCGGGTCCTTAGAGATTGGGAGTGAAGGTGGGGAGGAGGAGACCTCCAGTAGGTGTGGAGGGGGAACAGGATGCTAGTTTGGTGCATGGCACATAATATGCACTCAGTAAACAGTTGTGAGTGATGTGTGGGCTGTGAGTTTATGGCCGACCTAGAACCAGTCAGACAAGTCTAAACTCTGGTTCTACCACTAAAGGCTCTGTGCTTCAGAAAAACCCCCAATACTCCCAGACTTCAAGCACACAAGCGCCTGTGGCAGGCAGGGGTCTTCTTGACAAATATCAGATGCCATACTCCCACTAGCTTAAACCAAAAAGGAAATTTCTAGCTCACCTAGCTGGGAGGGGCTCTACAACTAAAGCTGCGACATTGGGGCCGGACCCAGTGTCTCCAAGAGTCTTGCTCCTTGTTTTTGCCTGATTTTGCAGTTAGGCTCTGTCCCCATGGTAGGGAAGGTGGCCATTTGCAGCCCAAATTCAGGCTTGGAGAGATGGCTTCTTTCTCTGAACATCAATATATCCATCTCAGAGAAGGCTTTGATTGGGCCTGTCTTGGCCCTAGTCAGACCTAGGTCACAGGCGGGTCCTATGGTTGGGGGAGTGGATGACATCACCAGAAGGAGGGGGATAGGAATGCCAGGTGGGCAGACAAAACAATCATCACAGTACCTGCAATTCGTAAAGGCTGAGCACGCACGCGTGTGTGTATGTGTGTAGGGGGCTGTTAGGAAAGCCCAAGTCAGAAAGAGCCCCCGAAAAGTATACAGGTGGGACCAGAACCAAGTTTGGTCTATTCACAGGATTATCATTAGGTACCAATCATTTGGTTCCACTATATGTCAGACTCCACATTAGGCTAAGTATATGTTACATAAATCATTTCTCATTCTCACAGTAACCCTAAGAAATAGATACTACTAGCCCCATTTAAAAAATAAAGAGAGGTTGCCAGAGGTGAGGTGGGTGGGAGGGGAAGGGAACTGGGTGACAGGCACTAAGCAGGGCACTTGATGTAATGAGCACTGGGTGTTCTATGCAACTGATGAATCACTAAATTCTACTCCCGAAACTAATAATACACTACATGTTAGCTAAATTGAATTTAAATAGAGATTAAAAAAAAAAAAGTAAAGAGACCGACTTTAAGGACACACAGGCAGTGAGTAACTGAGATGGATTTAAACGTGGGTCCTTCAGACTCCAGATCCCATATTTTTTGCCGAAGGTCAAGCAACTGCTTTTAGAAACCAAAGCCGAAAGCTTGCTGAACGGTTGCAGGGAGCACACCATGAGCCCCGGCAGGTGTGGTCTTGCCAGGGACTTTCACGAACTTCCTGGCTGCGTACTTCCTCCGCTCCCCATCCTACAGGCTTTTCCTGGCAAATGGAGACAGGCAAACCACTGGTGGTAATACAGGGGCTTCTTCACCAAATAGCATTTCTCCCAGACTTGATCTCCCAATTGCTGACCCTGCCTGGAATTTTCTAGAGTCTGGCCTTTTAGGTGAGAGGAAGTGGGGCTGGGGTGTTTGAAGGGACACTAACATGGCAAAAAAAAAAAAAAAAAAAAGGATGTCATCTCTCATCTAAATCACAGAAATATCCACAGCCCCTATTGTTCTCTCTGTCCCTGTGCTGCCTCTTCAACCCATTCAGCACATCACAGCTAGAGAGACCCTCCTCAAGTACTATTTCTCCTGCATCCCACCCTCCCCTGAACCTCAATGGCTCCCCTTTGCCCACACTCATTATGGAGGCTTCCCAGGCTTCTCAAGACCTAGCCCCCCTCCCAAGTTCTCCAGCTTTCTCTTCTACCACTGCCCCTCACACTTAATGCAAAAGATTTGCAACAATAAGATAGCAAGGAACCACATGTGGCTATTTAAATTTAAAGTAATTAAAATTAATTCAATTAGGGATGCCTGGATGGCTCAGTGGTTAAAGCCTCTGCCTTTGGCTCGGGTCATAATCTCAGGGTCCTGGGATTGAGGCCCACGTCAGGCTCTCTGCTCAGCAGGGAGCCTGCTCCCCCGCCCCTCCCGCCTGCCTGTCTGCCTACTTGTGATCTCGCTCTCTGTCAAATAAATAAATAAAATCTTTAAAAAAATTAATTCAATTATAGTTAAAAATTCAGTTCCTCAGTCACACTAGTCACACCTCAAGTGCTCAGTAACCTCTGTGCTAGTGGCTACTCTACTGGACAATGCAGATATAGAATGTTCCTATCATCACAGAAAGTTCTATTGAACTTTTACTAAGGAAGCTCTGATCAAGGAATGTTAATAACTTTAGAAGAATCCAGGTCGGATCTGACCTATTCAGTGACGTTTTTTTCTTTCTTTCTTGTCTTTTTTTAATTCAATGACTCTTTCAACAAATATTTGGCACCTATTGTATTCCAGCTCCTGAATAGACAATAGTGGGCAGTGGTAGCTTGGTCCTTTCCTAGGAGTAAAAAGGCAATTGCTAGAAGGTGTCCTAAGTGCCTGAGCCCAGGTTTGGGGATCTGGGAAGGCTTCCTGGAACAGGGGACATCCAAGTGCAACCTGTAGGCTGAGGAGGGTACTAGCTAAACTGAGTGGCTCTTGAAACCAAGCTCTTTTGGGCCCCAGTAGGCCTTATCACAGGCTGTTCCCACTGCCTGGACTGTTCCTCCACTCTTTTTCCCTAAGGAGAGAAGGGTTGAGGCTAGTTCCTTAAAGTTAGTCCTCCAGCTGGGACCAAGCAGAGAGTGTCAGGCCGCTGGCTCAAGAGCTCTGTGCTGTGGCCTCTGCTCCCCTCACAGGCCAGCTGGCTTTGGGGCTAGGCAAATTTACCACTAGGAAAAGCAGGCCCTGAGTAGAGGGCTCCTCAAGGGAAGTGAAAGCTGAAAATCTGGTGGGAGATGGGAGAGTCTGATTGTACCCTGAGGCCAACACAAGGTTGGGTATGCCACCTTCTCCAGTCCCTAAGTTCCCACCTGAATCAGACTGGGGAAAGTGTAGAGGAGACAGGCCACACTCCCACATAGGGCCTAGAAGGAGCCGGGACTGGCTAACAGAGCCGAGGGAGGCTGTCCTGAGGTCTCCTAACCACCTGCTTCTGCGAGAGTCCCCAGCTGCTAATCCCCTTCCCACATCACAGGCCGAGCCCACCCTCACCTGCCCTGTGCCACCTGCCTCATGCTGCTCCCCTTCCCGGTGGCCTGGCCAGAAGGTACATCCCTGCTGGGACTTGAAATCATTGACCCGAATTCCCGCGAGTGCTTATCTGGAAGACAGACGCTAGCTAGGGCGCTGTCCATCAGGCCCTGCACTGTCCAGAGCACGCCTCACCTAAGCCTCCTCCCCCTAGGATAATTGCGTGGGGACCTCTATCTCCACCTCCATCACAGAAATAAAGGAAAGGGTGATCTGTCAGAGCCGGGAGCGCGGGGGCCAAACGCCAACGCCCCACCACCCAGCCTGGCCCCGTATCGCACTTGCATCTCCCAGTGCCCGCCGAGACTCTCGCCCATCTCCCCGCGCTCCAGCCCGGGCCTCCGCACGATCCGATGCGGAGCCGCCCGGCCGGCCAGCGCCCGGCGTCCGTTGGGAGGCGGGGCCGGGGGCCCAGCTGGGGATAGGGGGTCGCGCCCCCCGGTGCCAGCCCGAGCGCCAGGCGGCCGCAGAGCCGTCCTTTGTTTGGCGGCGCTCGCGGCTTCTGCGCAGTCACGGTCACATGGCGCTTCCGGCACGGGGTGTTCTGGGCGCCGGGCCAGGGCTCGGGACGCCCCCGCCCCCGCGCGCGCCGCCCCGCCCGCCGGCCGGCCGGCCGCGGATCTCTGACCAACCCCCAACCCCCGCCCAGGCTCCCGGAGCGGGAGCTATACCTTCCCGGGCGCGTCCCGCAGGCAGATCTGCTCCCGGGCCGCTGGTCTTCTCTAAGCCCCACCCTTGGGCCTTCCATAGCTTTTGGTCTTCGGACTGGCATGTCCAATACCCAGTTGCTTCCTGGGGTCCGCCTGTCTCCCCTACTCTAGACAACACCAAGTGAGCAAACTCGGGCTCATTCCTCCGTGGGGCAACACCCTATGGCAGATAGGTGGGGGACAAATACTTAAGGCCGTTCTCGTCATAAATGGGGAGGCAGACAGCACCAAGCCTTTCCCACCCTTACCCCATTCTGAGCCCCGAAAACACAATCAAGCAAAAACAAGCCACCCTCCACGGGACGTCTAAGGGTAAAAAACCCAATCAGGTACAGAAATGGGGCTGACCCTTCCTGCCCTGGCCACCGCTGCTCCACCACGCTCAGACCTGGTCTGCACCCTGGGACACTTAAGGACCTTGGAGCCTCATGGAGGCCACCTCTGCCTCACTCAGCAGATTCCAGATTCATTCAACAAATATTTATTGAAAGCAGACTATGTACAGTGCAACCAAGCTGCCAGCCCTGTGTTAAGCCCCTAAGAGAATGTGAAAGGATTCCCTTTGTGTCCAAGCAGTGCCCGGGGCAGGCCTCCCGAGGCTCAGCTTCCTGGAGGAGGCCTTTATCCAGAGCAGCTGGGAGGCCCTTGGGAACAGTGCAGACCCAGCCATGCCTGGGGCCTGGGAGAGGGGGGCTCTGCCTTCCCTCTGGGAGAGGGAAGACCCTTGCTTCCCAGCCTTGGATGTGCAGCAGGGAGGGGCACCTCCAAGCTCCAGGTGAAGCTGGCGTGGGGTCTCAGGGGTTCTTTCTGCTTCTGGGCAACCTTTCTGAAAGCCTTTCGGCCAGGTCTGCAGGGACTGCAGCAAGAGAAGGGGAGGACCTGGAGGGGTGGAGACGGGGGAGAGGCGAGAGGGACACAGCAAGGTGGCCAGGGCAAAGAGCAAACTGTGGGGCCAGAGGCAGGTGTGTACAATCTGCGCTGTGGTCAGGGCTTGGTCGGGAAGAGCAGGCAGGTGAGCTGACAGCGGTGGCTGTATCTGTCCACAAGGGGCAGGGGGTGCTGTATGTAGTGCTGGACCATGGCGGCCACGGACGGAAACAGCTAGACAGGACGCAGGGCATCAGTGAGTCCTCCGAGCCTCATGCTGGGGAAGGGGCCTGTTGACGTTTTTCTAAATCCTTTCCTTTGAGTTTGCCCCATGAAGTTCCACTGCCCTTTCGTGCCCCTTTCCAGGCCTCATGGAATTTTTTCGCCACAGCACCCACGGGCATGCTGTTAGCCAGGCCAGGTAGAAATAACTCTGGGGCCCTTCCTCTGCCCAGGCCTTCTATCATGGAAACCTCAGCAAGTGCCGGGCACAAAGTCCAATCCTTGGCATGGACGGAGTCTGGACAACCTGGGTCCCACTCTCCTCCTGGCTGGGGTCGTGGCAGGCACAAAACCCCCCTACCCCCACCTGGCGCCCTGGACAGACTGAGCCCTGCAGGAGGGGGTGTCTCCCTCAGAGGAAGGCAGACCTCTGAGAAGGACTTCAAGTCCCTGGCCTCTGTCATGTCCACCCAGTCCAGAAAAATGGCAAAATGTGTGTTTTCCCCTGGGCAAATGCACCTGGCTCTGCTGTGCCCTCTTGCCTGCTAGTTCCCATCCTCCTCCAGCACCCACCTCCTCGTGGTTCCTGCCCTGCCGGCCCAGGGCATAATGCCTCCCACTGTCCAGCTGCCGGATGGGAATATTGAAGACCCGGCCATGGAGAAGCACTGCCAGGGTGAGGGGCTGGGAGCTGTGAGGCTCTGAACTGGGGCGCACAGTGTAGGCGCCATCCTGTGGAGGAGACCCCGTCTGTCAACCCCATCTCTCAACTAGCCTACCTGCAGCCTTGGCCCACAGATGGTCAGCAACCCACCTCCCACCCATCCTCCCACCTCCAGTTGCTCAGCCAGCCACAGCCCATGAGCAGAAGGGTTTCCGCAAAGGCCCAGGAAGGCTGCAGTTGCCCACCTTTTGGAATCGGAGCAGGGCACTCTCAACAGCATGGCGGTCACAGTTTTCTGAGTACCAGGGCTGACCCAGCAGGCTGCCGTCCTGTACGTACACATACAGCCACTCAGAGACGTGCCAGGGCACTGGAGAGAGGCTGGGGCACAGAGAACCCCGGGCTGTGGTTCTTTGTGTTCACATCTGCCTTCCCCAGACTGAGTCTGTGCCAGTAGAACAAAGATGTGTCCGTGCCTGCTGCCCAGCATAGGGCTACATGCCCGCGTTCAATGTGTTCCTTGCAATAGCAGCCACCAGCCCAAGGCGGGTCCCCGTCGCCTCCTCCCAGCCCTCTCCCAGCCCCACCTCACCTCAGCAGCTGAGGTGCTCCAGGTAGGTGCTCTAGAGGAAAGAGAAGATCTCCTTCCTGCTGGGAGAAGCAGATTACAGAGTTGAGGCTGGGAGGGGATTAAACAAAGAAGGCTTTGGGTCTGGCTGCAGAGGTGGGGGAGGTTAGAGGGCTATGCACATAGGCCTGAAGCCCAAAACTGGACACTCAGTGCTTCATCCCTCCTCTCCAGGCCTTGGGCTCTGGTAGGACCTATCAGCTAGGCCATATTGACCTTCAAATGAGGGGTGATCTTGAGGTACAGGCTGGGAGTTTCCCGCTTTGTTGAAGACCCTAGAAATTACCCAATAGGATCCCCTTAGGCCTGCTCTCACCTGAAGTCAGAGCTGCAAGGATTCCCACAGCAAAGTGGGGCATGAGAGGTGGGCAGAGGGCTGGGGAGCAGACTTGTGGCTGCAGGCCTGTGGCTAGGGTGGGTGGCAGGACTGCGGGGGGTTCACACTGAAGATGCCCGTACTCACCTTTAGAGGTGGCATTCGCTGCTCCCTGGGACACAGAAAGGCTGCTCAGAAGAGACTCAATCCTGTAACCCTACCCCCTAGGCCCGAAGTCCCTCCCTGAGCCTCCCCCCAACCCCAGGTCACAGGTCCCCTGGCTAATAGCCTCTTACATTCCGAGCTTCCTGGGGACCTACAGCGGGCCTGCAGGGGACAAGGTGAGGAAGAAAGCTCAGGTTTTACTTCCTTTAAGAGAAAGAGCCCAGGGAGCCCAGAGATCGCAGGGTCAGAGATGGGGAAGCCAGAGTTGGCCATTTTGTGCACACACACACACACACACACACACACACAGTGGGCACTCACCTGGGCATCATTGATATCCTTGGCAGAGAGATTGGGGACATCAGGACTTGGGAGCTCAGAGTCCTAGTCAAGGCTGGGACTGAAATAGGGAGGGCAGGCTGGGCTGAGCTGGGCACCAGGCAGGGGTACCTACGCTGATCAGGGAGGGGAGCAGATACCTGCAGGACCTGCTGCCTCTCAGCAGCCTGGGCTCTCTGGGAGTCCTTCCAACCAGAGGGAGGGCTGTCCTGACACAAGAGCTGGGAAGCCCCATGCAGCCCTTGAGTAAGTCCCCCCCGCTATGCAGTGGGGGGTCAATCTGGACCAAAGGCTGAAGCATGGGTGTCCCTGTGGGTGTCTGAAGGCAAATGTGTATTGGTGGAACGGTGAGGGAAGACAGAAGAACATGGAGCCAGAATGTGTCCTGTTTTGAGCAGCCGAGGGCCCCAGGGCAGGAGGGACCTGGGACAGAGGGAGGGGTTCACCTGGACTGGGCTCACATATCACATAGATGTTATTTTCAGGTTTCTTTGGAAGGTCTGGAACCTAAGGGTTTGACCAGCAAATGGGAGAGAGGGTGAATCCATCACTGGGGGCGGGGGGGTGCTACTTTGGGTATCTCCCTCCCCCCTCACAAGGTGGTGACTTTCTGAGAGCTAGCTAGAATGATTTCAGTCGCTCCTTTGCCTGGGGGAGGAGCACCCATGAGCACCTTCCCCTTCAGAGGTACCTGTAGACTCCAGCTCTCCTAAATGTGGGCATCCAGGAAGAGTGGCCTCTGGGAGGCCTCTGGGGGAGGCCTTCCCCAGTAGCTCTGGGTGGCACGGAGAGCTGGCTTACATCCTGACAGGGGCCCATGGCAAACAGGGAGCCACTCTGCTCTGAGCCTTTTTCTTCAGTTTGAGGGATATTTCCTGGCCCTTCCAGGCCTGCTACCCCAGCCCTGCCAACTTCCTAGCCAGAACCCTGTGAGGGGTGGGCAGGGGGCCACTCACCTCTCTGGCTGGTGTAACCAGCTCTGGAAGGAAAAGGAGAAACCAGCAGTCAGAAACACAGGGAGAAAGGAATTCAGGGAAACTTAAGCTGGGAGAGTGGAGTGTTCTCAGACCTTATCTGAGGGCACCCGCAGAGCCAGCTTTGAAGCCCCAGGAGATAGCCACCTGAGCTCCAATCAATCACCCCGCTTCATAACCCTGGGGCTGCTGCCCAACTTAACCTCTCAAATGATTTGCCAGGCTTGCTCCAAATGACTTCGGGATGTTCCAAAAATCAAAATCACCCCCAAGCTCATGAAGGCTTACCAACCACTGAGCTTAGAAAACCCGAACATGCCTCAGGTTAGCTGTTTGCCCTGAGGCAGGAGGAGACTGCCTCTCTTGAGTGAGCCATTTTCAGACAAAAACACAGGGCTGAGGTCCCTCACTACCCCGACATCCCAGAGGTTCTGTGTTCACAGGCCTCGGGGCACTTAGCATGGGCAGTCTCTGGAGTGATAGCAATTATGACAAGGATAGAATCAGAGACTGGCAGCCAAAGGGCCCCTTTGATGGGGGATGACACCCAGATGTGTTTCAACAATGCAGGTCCTCTGGTCAGGTGAGGCTGCCCTTCAGAACTCCTCAGCCCAGAGCGTCCCTTGCCTGGCCCGGACACCACAGCAGATGCACGACCGGACTTGGGAGTCAGGGACTCTGATGCTTTGTGATCTCAGGCAAAGCATTTCTGGGCTCCAGCTCTCAGTCTCCCCCTGAACTGCCTGCCTTAGCAGGGATGGGCAATCAGCAGGTAAAAAAAAACGAGGACCCCCGGTGCTTGCAGGGGGTGACCTGCAAAGTGACCAGGCAAAGCTTGAAACTAAGTCACGGGAGATCGGGTCTACCCTCAGGGGTAGGCAACCGGTGGGCCTCTGAAAAAGACAGGACATCCTCATTACCTTGCTTCCTGAGGGGGAAGGGCTGTCCCTGCTTCCTAGCCTCCTTCAGGTTCAGTATCGCCTTCAGCTGTGGGCACAAAGGGGCGGGGAGGGGGACTAGGGTTAGGGGGGAGGAGGAGGGGAACTGAGTCAGGGGGAGGGCAAGGATGGCGGGGTGGGAATGGGCCTTGAAACCACAACAGCACAAGAACTCATGTGCAGAGGTGACTCTTTGCCTCGGTCCTGTGGCTCTTGCTTTGTTGTGAATCTCTCCCTGTTTTTCTTTTTATTCCAGTAAAATCTATGATGAAAGCGGTAACTTGTGAGACCATAAGCTTCTCTCAGCCCAGCGGGCAGTGATGGCAGCAAAATGAAGGATTTCTTCACTGTCTAGGCAGGGGGGGCGGTCCGCAGGCTCTAGGGACTGGGGAGGAGAAGCCAAGCCAGCCCTGCCTCTGGGCTCCAGCTCCAGAGGAAGGGTGAGTCTGGGGGATGAGGACAGCCAGGGGTGCAGCGCTGGGGAGGGCCGGGTGGGGCAGGTGGGAGCAGCTAGGCTAATAGGATTCCTCTTCTGACACATCTAATTTTTCAGGGACCTCCTTTTTTTTTTTTTTTTTAAAGATTATTTATCTATGTATTTGACAGAGAGAGGGAACACAAGCGGGGGGAGTGGGAGAGGGAGAAACAGGTTCCCCACCGAGCAGGGAGCCCGATGCGGGCCTTGATTCCAGGACCCTGGGATCATGACCTGAGCTGAAGGCAAGACCCTTAACGCCGAGCCATCCAGGCACCCTCTGGGACCTCTTGATGCAAATATGGGGGAATCTTGCAAATGAGATGCCTCTTAGATTTACTCCCTGGGAAATGGTAGCCGGGTGGGGTGGGTGGGGAAGGAGGGGCTTAGGGGAGGGTACTGTTCACCGTTGTGGCCTGGGGCTGCGATGGTGGTGACTTGGATGCGCCCACGGGGCCAGGGTGATCTGGAAAAGGCCCCAGGCATCGTGGGTCGGTGGGTTCCTTCCACATAGGTTTCCAGTTTTCCTCCCACCCCCCACCTAGCCTCTGTTTCCTCCCGCTCTCCCCCTCACTGGCTTCCCCACAGCCCCGTCTCCATGGCAACTGGAGGAGGCCAGCTTTCCTGCCCCCACCTGGCCTAGTGGAGGAGCTCTGGGGGTGGGAGGCCAGCAGCAGCCAGGCTCTCCTGGCACCCCTACCCTTGCTCTGAGAAGTGAGGGATCTCAGAGGAGGCCCCAGGGACCTTGTCGGGCCTCCTGCTTTCCCACTGTTGCCTTGGTTACAGTGCCCCTCCAGCCTCCTCTCCCCTTCCCACTCTTCCTCCTGCCTTTCTCCCTCCTCCCTCCGCCTTTCCTTCATCCTTCCCTCTCTCTGCCCAGCCCAGAAGCTTCCGCAGCTGCCGGCTGAGGCCTCCCCTTGCCGCCCCAGCACAGACAAAGGGAGAAGAGGCAAGGTCTGTGCCCTCCTTCCTCATGGGGACCTCTGTCCTGCCTGACCACCCAACTCCCTGCCTCAAATGCCCAGCTCTTACCCAAGTATATAGAGTCCTCCTCGGTGTCAGGAAGGTGGGCTGGGGCGAGACTAAACGGCAGAGCCTCACAGGGGGGCATCTCGTATTCATCTTCATCTTCTTCCTCCTCCCCCTGGGCTTTCCAGAAGGGACAGAAGAGGGGCAGTACCAGTGGTAGGCACTGTGGCCCACCTCCCTCCACCCCAGGCTCAGCAGCTGCACTTACCTTAAATCTGCTGCTCCCCGGGGTGGGCCAAGGAGATGGGCTGGGGGCATCTTTGTTCCAGGCTGGGGAATCTGGACAGGGGACTGAGGAGACTGGCCTCACCTTCCAGCACCCCCCACCCCACAGTGACTTCCTCTCTTTCCCCCATATAATAAACCATCCGCGTTTTTACAGTGGGCCTTTCAGGCTGCTTCACTTTACTCAGAGGAGCTATTCATGACCAGTGTCCAACACGGCTGCAGGGCCAGTGAGGTTGGCGTTTTGAAACCAAGGGGGCTACCGTCACTTACCTACATATCTAGGGGGTGGAATGGGTGGCTCCAACCTGCAATCAGACTCTAGTCAACTCTGCCCGAGGGGCCGGACCCTGCACCGCTCCCAGGACATTCACAGCCACGGCTATGTGAGTGGCGCCCCCTGGAGTTGTGCGCCAATAGCCTGGGACCGGAGCAGCAGGAAGAACAGTCTGGGGCAGAGCTGGTGCCTGGTGGGTGCACAGCCGGATGAGCGGGTGCCCCAGTGAAGCCAGTGGGGCGGGAGCCTAGTGCTCACAGTGGCATGGAGGTGGGTGGATGGTCTCCCTGGGCAAGTAGGGCTGTGCCCAGGAAAAGCGGCAGCGAGGAAGAGACAAGAGAGGAGGCGGAGGAAAGAGAGGAGCCCGAGTACTCACTGGAGCTTGCTTCCCCTGAGCTTGTCCTGGAAAGAATCAGGGAGGGGGCATAAGTCAGTGCAGCCGGGATGCCTCTCCCTAGCAAGCATCCTGGGTCGTCAGGGGTGGCGGGTACATCTGTGCACCTGCTGCTGCCCCAGAACCAACTCTCACCATGGCTGGGCTGAAGGAGCTCTGATCCCTGGGAGCCCAGGCTCTACCACAAATGGCCTGGGGACAGAGGTCCTATTATTCTCATCATTTGCATCTCACAAGCACCAGGAAGGTGGGTCTGCTGTGGCCTCTAACCTCAAACCCAGTTGTCCCATGAGGTTCCCATGAACTTCCCCACATGGCCTCCCACAGCTGCGGTTCACGGTCTCCAGCCCCTCTGCCTCACTGGAGGAAGGGCTCTCCCCTCCGCTCCAGGGCCTCAGGCCCACAAGGCCGGACCGAGCTCAGAGGCTTCCTGGAAGCTCTCTGATCTGTGCCCCCTCCTCCCAGAGGATCCAACTCTCCCCATGGTTGGCCAGACGGTCCTTTCCCAACTCACAGCACAGAGTCCATTAAGGGGCAGATCCAGTTGAAAATGGGACACTGTCCTTGCACTTTTCTTAAACACTTTCGCTTGCTGTCCTTTCCTGGTGAAAGGTCACCAATGATCAAAGAAGCGGAGGTTCGTGAAAAGCTCAGAAATACGCATGTGTATTTAGTTTGACAGCTTCCTTTCTGGATGGCTGTATTTATTCATGGAGTAAATATTTATTGAACATCCTCTCTATGCCAGACACTGTTCCAGGTGCTGAAGATGTTGTAGAAAATCCCAAAGAAGCATGCGTATTTCCTGCCGGACCCTCACAGTAGCCCCATGACACAAACACTAGTTTTATCCCTGTGTTTCAGATGAGGGAACTGAGCTTATTAGAGCGAACTCCTCACAGAATACCACAGATGCAGTGCCTTCGACAACAGAAATGACTTTTCTCACTGTTCTGGAGGCCAGAAGCTCACGATCAATGTGCCATCAGGATTCATTTCCGGGGAGAGGTCTCTTCCTGCTTGCAGACCGTCTCCTCCTCTCTGTGTCCTCACATGGCCTAGACTCTCTGCAGGCCTGGAGAGAGACATCTCTCATCCCTTCTTAGAGGGACACCAGTCTCATGGAATCAGACCTCCACCTTTATGACCTCATTTAACCTTAATGATCTCCCTAAAGAGCCTGTCTTCGAATCCAATCCCAGGGGTGTTAGGGCTTCACCATAGGCATAGAAGAGGGGCAAATGCAGTCCAGAGCTCAGAGGCTTTGAGGAACTGAGTGGCTTTCCCAAGGTCAGACAACTAGTAAGCATGGGAGGTGGGGTTCCACCCCAGGTTTGCCCAACCCAGAGTCTGTGCACCAACCTGGAGGTGCTCCTGTATCTCATCTAGGGTTGAGTCCCTATCCTCCTTTCCTGTCATGGAATTAGACACAGCAGGAAACATGCCTTCCTTAAGCCTGAAGGAGCTCATGACCTCCAGGTATTGTTACTTTAACATCTGAGAAGTGTTGAGGGAAGGGCCTGGGGTCCGACTTTGTTAAAACCAGGGACTGAGGAAACACAGAGGAGGATCATGAACTAAGACCTTTCTAGTGCACCGTGACTTTCCTGTGTCTGTTATTTTGGTGATGTTTTGGCTGTTGGCAGAAAGGAGAAGTGAAAGCAGGGTGCTTACGTCTTGGGAAGCCACTTGGCTAGGACCCTGGAGAGGAAACCCCATGGTTGGAGCTGGCCACAGCCTTCAGAGAGGAAGATCAGATGAGTCCTGGGACCTGTGGGCCAACGGGCACTTCGGAAGCCATGAAAAATCACTGGGGTGGCTTACCAGGGAACCCAAGTGGTACAGTGGAAAATACTGAGAAAACAAGAACAGAGAAACAATCCAGGCCTGGGTCAGGGACAGGAGGCTCCTCCCCGACCTCTACTCCCCATTTGACCTTTGTTCCACATTTGGACCATAATGGAGGGGGCAAGCTCCCTTACCAAAGGGACTTCCTATGGGACAGGGTCAGCAGGTCAAAGTTAGCTGGAGGCTGCTGCTCTAGAAGCCCAAACCAAGTGGGCTTCTAGTCAGCACTGCCCTTGCCCCAGCACCTCCCTCCTGGGCTTTGCATAGGCAAATTCCAAGACCTGGGTGAATGAAAGGGTCACCCAGGGAACAGAGGATGGAATCATGCCATCTGGGTGGGGGCATGGGCCAGGACAGATCAGGGAGAAGGGGGGAGGATGGAAGGAAGCCTGCTTCATGGCTTTGTCTCACCCTGGCCGGCCTTCTGAGGGGTGTGGACTGTGCTTCTTACTAATTACACAGACTGATTTGTTGGACAACCTCTTTCTACCCTGGCACAGGATAGTGCAGAAGCCTAGCTCTTCCCTCAGGATGAATTCCTAGAAGTGGAATTGCTGGAAGCTCACATTTTGGTTGCAAGACTCCATGGTCTGGTAGCCCCCGAGCGCCTGTTTTAAGGCCCTTCCCCGGCACTCAGTGATTCTCCACATTTGCTGGGCTTCGGGAGCTGATCTCCAACGGGAACAGACTGTAATCTGCAGGCCCAGGGTAGTCTAAATCCACCCAAAGCTCTCTAGGGCCATGTCCCCACTATTTGCATGATCACAAGCATCGCTGGAGAGTTTGTTAAAAGCCCTTGTTCCCAGATCTTCCCTGAGTTTTTTTTTTTTTTTTTTTTTTTAAAGAGAGAGAGAGAGAGAGAGCATGCGCACACCCACACGCACGTTAAGCATGGGGAGTGGCAGGCAGAGCGTTCCCTGAGATCTTAAGGACTGGCTGCTCCAGGAGGGAATTGGGATTCTACATTATTATTTTAAAGATTTATTTCCTTGAGAGAGAGAGAGGACACATGTGTAAGCAGTGGGGAGGGACAGAGGGAGAGGGAGAGAAGTGGACTCTGAGCTAAGTGGGGAGCCCAACGCAGGGCTTGATCTCATGACCCTTGAGATCATGACCCGAAACCAAGAGTGGGACACTTAACTGACTGAGCCACCTAGGTGCCCCAGGACTTTATATTATTTTTAACAAACATCCTAGGTCAATTTTATGATCAGTTTTGGGAAATGCTGCTCTACAGGAAACAGTCTGAGAACATGTGACTTCTAGGACATTTTTAGAATCCCATATGGACTTTTGCTCATTCAGAACACAGGGGTCCCTAGCAGAGAAAGAATATGACACAGACCTTGCTTTCAAGGACCCCTCCGAGTGATGGAGAGGGCACACCCAAGGAGATGTCCAATCTCTGCGTTTCGGTTTCCTCTTGTGTAAATGGAGAGGTCTGTGGGCAGTCCTCTTGGCGGGGGAGCTTCTGGGGGTCAAATGAGGGGAGGCCCAAGAAACACACAGCAGCCGCACAATAAATACCAGCTTTCCCTGAGACAGTGGTGTGGTGCCTGACAAGGTTGTTGCCAGCAGACAGGGCAGGTGGTGTGATCCTTGGTGTGGCCAAGTGGGAAGCACTGTGAGGAGGAGGGCATGGTTCCCGAGGACCCGGAGGAGGAAGGTAAGCAGGCTGTGGCCTGAGGTCTCAGGGATGAGGGCAGGAGCCCTGAGATGGGGGTGACTGGACTCCCAGAGAATGGAAGGGGATGTGTGCCATTCCTTCTGACTGGGGAGCATGTCCTGCACTGGGGGCATTCTCCATCTTTTAAATTCCAGATCCAGCCATAGGAGCCCCCTGAGGCCTTCCCAGCCTTCCTTGCAGCTGTGGTGCAAGCATTTGGCCAGCGACAGGCCCCCATGTCAGACTCTGTATCCAAAGCAGGCACCAAGAGGAACCCAGCCTGGGGAGGGGATGACAGCTGTGTCCTATTTCCAGAGTCCGGAGATTGAGAAGCTAGTGCCACTACCAGGGCCCAGGTTAGCGGTGCTGGCAAAGAGTGGTATCTGTGCGCAGAGGTGCCTCCACCGGGCCAACTAGGCCGTGACCTTTGGGACATGATTCCTGGGAGTTTCTCTGGTCCTCCCAGAGCTTCTGTGAGCTACAGAATATTTTTAATACTTATTTTTCAGCCTAAACTAGCTAGGGTGGGCTTGTCTTACTTTCACTTGAGAACTCTAGAGTTGAAACTGCAGAAGTCCAAACAGTGAGGCCAGATGTGGGCATCTCCTGGAAAGGTGAGACCAGGTAGAGGTGAGACCGTGGCATGGGATGGCCTGAACATACAGGGCAGGGGAGGGGAGTCCTGCAAGTGGCAAACAATGTCCTATGAGGAGTCATAGAGACTGAGTCCTCAAGATATTTCTACCTGAGCAGGTGGAGCCTGAGGCCAGTGGAACTCTGAGGTTGGGTTAAAGCGAAGGTCAGGGACCTGCCCTCTCACTCCCTAAAAGTGATACCGAGCTTGGTGTGTAGTAGATCTCTGTGGTTTTTTTTCTAGTTTCCCTCAGATTTCCCAAGGGTTAGGGTGGGGGCTGACAGTCGATGCCAGCTTTCTGGGTCTCCAGGGCTAAGAGCACGAGCTGCTAGCACCCTGCTTCTGCCCACTCCTGGCACGCCTCTGTCCCACACACCCTGCCCTTCCCTCTTCCGGAGCCTTTGCTCACAGCAGAATTTGCCGTGTCACAGCTCTGCCTAAGACCTGGGAGGGACTCCCCATGGCTCCTTGAATGAAGGAGCCAAATGCTTCTTGTTGCCTTGTAAGGAGGTCAGGCCCCTATCTGCTCTTCCTGCCCCAGCCTCTCCACTTTCCCCACGGACTCACACTTGCCTTCTCTCTGACGTGACAACAGGAGGGGTGTTGTCCCTCTGCATCCTGTTGACTGAAGGAAATTTCAGTTGGAAGAAATTTAAATCTCTACTCAGTCCTTAGAGAATAAAACCAAGGAGGGCACTCTTCATGTACAGCAAAACACAGTAAAAAAGGAAAAAGGACTCTTCTCTATGTATGTAATACTTCAAAAACATTTTACGTCCCCCACCCCCCCAGCCTCCAGCGACTTTACTCAGCTCTGCAAGTGACAAGACTCTCTTCAGAGATGGTGGAAGCACATTCCCCTTCCCCAGATGCCAGCCCTCTCCCTTCCACCTGGGCCTGATAATGCAGATCACCACAGCTGCTTTAGCTACCTTTAAACTTGATCCATTAGCCACTACCCAGATTCTAGAAGGAGCACCTGGTTTTAGAGAACTGGGGAGATGTCCCAGGATTCGGGAAGCCTGGGGAAGGTGACGGGGGGACAGGGTAGTTGCAAACATTTACAATGTTACATGACTTCCTTCATCCCTTTCTA